GTTCATTACTTTCCAGTACAATATCGTCATTGGGTAAACCAAGGCCGATTCTTAGTAACTCATCAATGATAAATAAAGGTGGCACCCTCATTACAACATCAGCAAAGCTGAGAATTCTTTCCCGTATTGAAATATCCATCTTGCTAGTGCTGTTCAAGGAAAAGTTTGAGGAAGACGTTTTATACACGCTTTGGTTTTAAATATGGAAGCAGCATTCTGTTATAGAATGGTACAAAGGCCAGACCTATACACACACATACACACACACACACACAACATATATATATATATATATATACACACACTTGTATATATACATATATATAAACAATTATAATTAATTCTCCTATGATAAAATAAATCAAAATAAATTTTCAAGATAGCCAGAAAAATAAGATTGAATCCAACTTGATGTTTTATTGTTATTTCATCTAATCAATATAACAAAATGGATAGACAAAAATAAATAATATATTATAAAACTTCTCTGTTGAACAGCACTTGGGTTCCATAAAACAAAGCTGGGATCATATCCAACCCTCCACACATACACACACATAAAAGTGTTAATATTATTTATATTAATCTACAAAGAGATATCTTCTAAATAAAAAATAAGAAAAGAAGATTTTCAAACCCTTTTCATCAATTTCTTTCAAGTTGATCAATTTGTATATAAAATATATGAATACATGCAGAATCGCACTGAAAATTGTACAAAAAATTTTCTGTTGCAGCAATGCAAATCTTCTTTGGTACATATATTAATTTTAGGTTATAATATCTGTCAAAACATTGCACACATCACACAGCACAGCAAAAGCATAGTAGTAATTGTATCCTTAATTAATTTAGATTGCACAAAATTAATCTCATGTGTCATTGGAATCCACTTAAAAATACATATCAAATGTTCTTATCATTATTATTACCACTATCATGATGACAAATCATAATAGATATAAGAGATCTGTTTTCTATGGCTAGTATATACTTTTGAAATTTAAAGTGAGATAGATATACGTTTGATATTTGTTTAAAGTGAAAAAGAGAGTTCTAGAACAGTCTAGTGCAGGAACAGAAAACAGATCAAAGATCTGTTTTTTGCGGCTGAACTAGTGTACACTTTTGGAACTTCAAGTGAAAAGGGTATATGTTTGATGTCTGTCAAAAGCAAGAAAGAGAGTTTCAGTGCAGAAACAGAAAACAAACCTATAAATTTTCATTCTTGCATGTTCTTCTCTCGCCCTTTCCCTCTTCTTTCCCTTTTAGCGTTCTGACACGTTCTAATCCTCTTTCTCCACCTCTCTGTCTACTGTAATATGCATATATAATTCATTTCATAAACGATTTTATATTATCGCCTTTATCCTGAAAATCAAAACTTTGCTATATATCAATCAATGGATACGTATGTTTTATATCGTAAAAATTAACTTGATTTCCGCTGGATAAATTTAATATAGATGGTTTAATAAATACACGTCCAATGTCATTGCTTGATCGTGTGATAGGATCACAATAAAGTTTCCAGTTGTCACATAAATACACGCGACGCGTTACATTTAAACGAACAGAAAGAAAATCGTTGACGCGTGTTGACTGAATATTATAATGCGATATTGGTCAATTAGAGCAAATAAGAGAAAACACGAATGAGGTTAATGCCACCAACGGATAACATAACTTTTTGTATACCGTTAAACATCGAAATAATGAGAATGAGGAGCAACGAGCAATGAGTATTCACTGCTCCGCACTCCTATTTCGGATAGTTTGGATGACTGTCTAATCTATTAATCTACCATCGCGGATAAGCATGTCTCTTCAGCGTACTTCATCATGCTTCACCGAAGAAGTTGAAGGTAATCGAGGGAGGGAGGGGGAAAGAGAAAGGGAGAGAGAAGAGTTTCGGAATTTTGCAACGACGAGCGAAACAACTTACCGACGGCCAACGAGGAGGGAAGTCAAATCACAGATCACAAGTCACATTTCGTGACTTGGCGATCATCACAATCACAATAAGTGACTCTGAATAACTCGAATCGGCACGAGATACGCTCGAGGTCGATCTTCTCGTTTCTTCGTGCCTCATTTGCGTCTTTTGATCTCGTCTCAAACTCTCGCCGGCCACACGGACAAACACTAAATCACAATTCGTTTATTTATTATAATACCGTTATCTCCTCCTTTCACCTCATTTCATTGTGACCTGCAGCTTGTCACTCGTTTGACTCATTGTCGATTAATCGCGTATCAATAAATAAAAAGGAATTATTTTTTATTGATCAGCTTTTGCAGCCCAGCAAATGAGAATGGATTAAAATGGATTGAAATTTTTTCTATCTAAATGCGTATTTTATTTAATATAAATAGCGAATACTTTTTTTGGATTTAATTGGATTCAATTAGATTCAATTAGATGCAATTAGATTGAAAAATTGTATTTCCTATTCGAAATTTTGAATTGAACAGTATTTACAATGCACAGAAAAAGCTAATATTATTTTTAGATTGAAATCGAGATATGCTCCATACAATTCCTATAAATGAATAAAAATGCATTCAGGATTGAAAAGAATTCATTTTAACATTCGTGAATCAATATTTCTGAAAATCTGAATTCATTTCAATTCATTTCAATCTATTCTCGTTTGCTGGAAAGACCATCTATTTACGGTGTTCTCTTTTTCATAAGAATTACGATGCCACGCAGTGCAATACAACGAGTTTTTCGAGAGACAGTGCTATAGGGAGAATCGTAAAACGAAGACATGATTTGTACTTATATGTACAATAATTTATTGTTCTTGCCTCTCATTTCTGTCACGTTATGTTATACATATCGATGTAATGTATAAATGAATGTCTCGTACTGTCGATGACGCGCGTTTTCGCAGTTTTGTCCTCTCTTTTACATAAGATCAATATATCAGTAGTATTCTTTCTCCTCTCCCTCTTTTAGAGGATGCACGCGTTGCGTTTAAAAAAACCATGCTCCAACTCGACAGTTTGTTATAAAAAAATTTTATATTCGGATTATACACAACGATGTTAATAAAAATAGAACCTCTCACATCGGCTAGCGCGATACAACTTCTGTTATCAGTTATCACATAGAGGTAGGTCCTGCGTGCTCCCCAAGATTCCCATTATGATCATCAGCGCTGATATGTCGATTAAAATTCTATCCCGTGGTCCACGAAGCGCGATATGTCGTTGTTTGTTGTAATTGTGATGTGATTGCATGTTTAGTTGTGACATCGTAAAACGATGCTGCGCTTGCGATGTTTGTAGAGCAGTTCATGTTGTTTTTCGTCATTTTGGTGTCGTTGCGGTCCCAAAGACCGCGCTCACATCGATGAATCGTGCCATTTTTCAATCTTGATAGCCTAATAAATTCAGTAATGTATGTAGTAATATTACGTACATAGGTGTCATGGATCATACAATTTCGTACATTTTGTAAATACATCTTACAAGGGTATTTACATCCGGTATATGTTGGATATTTTTATTCGCTCGTATCAAGGAATTAAAGAAGAACACTGAGTTACAAGAAACGTAATAATACGCAATTTATTGGCTCTGGAAACAGCGCACAAGGTATCCAAAGAGTCTTTGTCGTCGTAACTTAAACGATACCTAAATGAAATCGCTTAAATGAGTAATGAATAATGAATCGATTCGAAGTATGATTCAAACGATTTTTTCACACGCCTTGTAATATTCTAATTGTCAATTAATTATGCAGATTTCCAAAGAGATTGTTAATATTATTTTAAAAAATTAATTTAAAACACGATCTTAATCACGAGTTTTATCAGATCAATCTTAGATATAATCCGATCGTCGCATTATCCTTTTTTAAAAAACTATTCGTTCTCATTTTGTTTCCACCCACATTCCCACAAATCGATAATTAATAAGAGAGATCCTAAAAATTACTTTTTCAATATTCCAAAATGATTTGTACATCAAACTTATTAATATTAAACTTTTCGCGTATTTCTATTATAGATCGATGATCGTCTAAGCAATTCGTCCAATGAAGAAGCATTCGCACGTTATTTTTATTACCATAAAAAATTACATTCCATGTGCATATATTTTTTCATTATATTTTAATCTTGTCTATAAATCTGCAACTTTATTCTTACGTTATCACGAAGCAGTTTTTTTCATGCTAATAGTTTGTTTTAGAAATAGATTTATATTGTGTGTGTGTGTATATATAGATATATGTATGTGTGTGTATATATTATATATATATACACACATACACACACATACACACGTCAAAATTCATATTTCAAACTCACACGCAACATAAAAAAATGTCTTTGCTAGTCATATGTAATATGACGTTCGCCTCGATAAAAAAATTTTTTCTATCTTCTTTTTTCTTTCTTCTCTTAAAAAAAAAAATCTTTTAATAAACATTTCTTGAAATATTATAAATGATTCAACTATATCATAAAAAAATACACATATACAAATAATCATGAAATTTGAATATAGATTATGAAACACACACAATTTAATTGCGTTATATCTGAAACTGACACATATATAAATTATTTTCAGACGATTCGACGTTGAAAACAAGCGTATAGAACATGGTTCGTACGTATATGTCGATTCATTTTTCATTATTTCTACCATTTTTATTATCTGGATCATCATGTTACTATCATGTTATATTATTTTACTAAATCGCCGATGTGTATTCATATGTTCTTTTCCGTGTCAATATCATATTATATATTTTATTAATATTAATATGAATGTTGGATACTGTCACACATCGATATTATATATATATCAATGCCTGATAATTTTAGAATGACTAATTGTCGCAGCATAATTAATCGACGTGTACGTGTATATATGAAAATTAAATGGTAAAAAGATGGTAAGAAAATGCGTGTGAGTTAAAAACATGAATAATCTGTTCTCTGATTTGGATATTTATCGAAGTTACATTATGCTGGTGTACATTATTCAGCAAATATTTTATTTATATATAAACTCTGCAAGCCCAGCTTACCATCGTCACAAATGCACTTTTAGGTTTATTTTATCCATGTACGAAATTGCTGCTTATATCTGTAGGAGTATAAGAGTGTCGATAAGTTATTAAGAAAGATTAGAAAATCTGTACTCCATATCTATGCGATTTTCGTTTATCTCCCGATCGGGGTATACGATTTTTTTTTAGAAAATGACAATTGATACTTTATTATACATTGTCTTAAATCGGCGCCACTTATTGCTTGATGTATATTTAGTGCAGCAACATTTGGTTTTTCCAGATATATAATATAAGGAAAGGTACCGGCTTATATATATTTATACTTTCTATCATCATTTTTTTGACTCGTATTGGCGACTGAGACAAACAATTAGTTCGCGATAATAATAAACTAACGAGAAAATAGGCCTGCGCATATGCACGTTTAACAAGTGTGGTACCGAATTGCAAATGATAGACAAATAATGTAGACACAGGTTATTTTACCGAAAGGCAAATTCTTTCATAGTGGTAACTGTCAGTATTCCAATTCTACAAGCACAAAACTATTCGTAAATCTTATTTATTTACTTTGTATTCTTATATCGAGGCCAGCAATACACGAGTCGATTGTTAATTGCGAAAGTATTTATAGGATGAAAATTTGCTTGGGCAACTATTGCGTATTTTTTTTTCACAATTCAAATTCCATAATTCAAATGCCGCGTAACAATAAGTAAAGTTACATCAATACAATAGTTACAGATTTTGCTCGATTGACCCCTTTCATTTTTTTTTATTTCTTTTTTTTATACTAGTCAGACATATCAGTTAAGGAAAACTCAAAGTTTGTACCACGTATTTATAGAAATTGTACAGAAATTGTACAGAAATTGTACCGCAGCGAGCGGCTCGTAATCCATACGTCTGCTCTACTCACATAGTCGCCTGTTCATCAATGCGATAATCGAACACTCTGGTAGTCCGTAGCGTAGATAAGTCACATATAGACTACACTGTGCGATGGCACAATTTTTATAATATAAGCAAAAAATTACTAATTAGTATTTATAAGTCATAAATCAACTGCCAACACGAGTCTGTGAATTGGTTGAATCACATATTCTGCCGAATGCGTACGTTTCTTTTTCATCTGCGCATATATTTGAGCTAGCGAATTTATTGATAGCCTGGAGTTATGCGTGTGTTTCACGTTTGCACATCTCTTTTCACATACACATATGCACGCGACAAAGTATGGGGTGCACAATCCTGGTATGTCTATGTGTATATAGCATGTATGAATGTGAGCTGCGTGGACGGCGCTACGTACACCACTCCTCGGTCAGTCAACCACTGACAGACTAGCAGTCGACTATCGTCACTATTACTCAGACACCCGTGGTTCCATTGGGAGTTTTCAGTTCAACGTGCCTAGCTCACGTCAATATATACCGTTGTATAATCTAGAGAAAATCAGTTTACGTTACATACAAATTACACAAGTATTACAATTTTAATAATAATCTTCGGCACCTCTGATCCTTTCTGGCTAATATTCAATTGAAATTATTCACGTACTTGCATACAGATATGCTAGAGTTTGTCTTGGAATAGGAAGAGATTGTTCGTAGCAGCGACAGCAACCACATTTTCAGATGGATGCCATGCAGTGTGAAGTATTTTCTTATTAAAATCCAGACAGTCGACACTAATTTCATCCTTCTTGCGTTTACCACCGGTGCATACCTATATAATCGCATGGAAGAATAAGTATTCGAGAGCATAATCAATACACAATACTCGACAATGACTCTTATGAATAAAACAAGATCTCACAAATATGCTAACCTTTCTTGGCTTCAGAAGCGTTTTTGGTTTGGCAATGTCGCGTGCTGCCTCCAAAGTAAGATCGCGTTTAGTCGTACGATCAAATACTCTGAAGAAATTGTTATATGAGCCCGTCATAATCGCAGAGTCATTACCACTCCAACAACATTCAAATTTGTCAAAGATGCAATCATTTTCATATAATGAACATAATTTTGATCTTAAGTATTCGTGTACCTATTGTAACAAAAAATTATATAAAATGTATCTCTTGCAATAAAATAGGAGGCATTCGTCTTAAATTAAACAGAAGATTGTAATAGAAAAAATGCAGAATACAATGGCATATCAAGTTTCTTTATCGCTTTTCTTATAAATATATACAAACTTACAGGATAACATTCGATTGGTTTTGTCTCCATTTGCAAATCCCACACTTTCACACTGAGGTAGTCTCTACTGATCATATATCTTCCAGAATTACTGAGCTTTACATCGCTTATGCTTGAAATAATTTCTGAGAAAAAACTTCTATTAGTCGGATCTTCAGGCTCCTCGAAAAGCTTACTGTGCTGATCGCAGAGAGCAGCAGATCTCATATCGCAAAGTCTAATAGTTCCTTTGCTACTGCTGTACACCAACACATTACACTCTGCAGGATGAAATTCCGCCGCAGTTATGACTTCCGTTAATTCTTCCATATTAGTTGGCTTAATATCTACTATATCTGTACACTATGGTTAGGAAAATTATACATCTGAAAAGCTATTTAATTAGATATCTATGCAAACTAATATTTCAGAATATCGTAAAAAGTATTGTCTTTGTAAAAAAAAAAAAAGAATAAACTAATGTTGATTATAAAGAAAAAAAGGATACTAAAACTCTGGTCAGTTATCTCAAGGTGCCAAAGATTAATTCTAAGATCATCAGCACTGAGGTATGTCTCTTGATCACTGTTGACACTTATACTGTTTATGTGATAGGTGTGCGCATTGGCAAATATTCTCCTTGGTGATGCCTCTACCATCAACTCCATTGGTTTTATGGTTGGCACCTATGCAATAGTAATTAAAAATTACTGTTATCGTTGCGCATTTACAACGATACGTTAATAAATCCAAAATAAGATATAAACCAGAATCTCTTACCCTCAAGGCAGTGATGCAGGCAGGATCGCGAATCGTGCCATTCTCTTCTTTTGTATTATATCCCTCCACTCTTTTATCTCTCTCACTAACCTTCCACAACTTGATTGTTTTATCGTTTGTGGAGAGTAAAAAGTGGGCAGGATTTTTTCTTTTTAACCACCTAATTTTATTAATTTTTTCTTCTATTTCTAATGATTTTAGGTAATCGAACTCTGGCTCGTGGCTCTGGAAAGTGCTATACACATTGTATTCGCCTCTTCGTGGTATACTGTTTTTACTCTGTGTAAACAATTATCTTCATAATTCATTAATCATTAATTTTACACACGCACACACATACACAAAAGTATCTTAACTTAATAAATTCAGTTGTAACAATCCAAATATCACGCTTGAAAATATCTAATCTTGTAATGTCCATCTAATCTTGATAATATCATGATATATCATGATATAAGCTCTCAAACATGGTACCTTTAATAGACTTAGTGAAGAGCTAGTGGACCCAATAAAAGATCAAACAGATATCAGATTATTAAATTACATAAACTTTAATGTAAAGATAGAAATACATAAGCCATAGCTCTAATATCAACCCATACATAAAATGATAATACGAAACCTTGTAAATATAGAAATTTTATTCTTCCTTAACATCAAATTATATTTAAATTTAATATATGAGATGCATTATATATGATATATATACTTCATCATAAATTAGAATACAAAATGTAGATACACACACACACACACCCACACACACACACACACACACACACACACACACACACACACACACACACATGTAAATACATAATTGTTAATCGTTAAGTGTGATAATTGGATTATTTGAATAACGCGTATTTTAAAGAGGAAATATTTATTTGAAATTTATCTCTTTTAAATTATATAATCTGAACTTACAATAGGGTCTCTCTGAAAAATGACAACACGTCCACCTTTGTCTCCTGTCGCAAGGAGATCGCCATCATGGTTAAATTCAACACATGAGATTATATCAGCTGTAATAAAAAACATAATACTCATATTCATAAATAATTTTGTACAGAATATAACAAAACTTGCAAAAACTCTTGAGATAATCACGTATTAATGAATGGTAAACTAAAAGAATGAATTTGTGTGTACTGTGTGAGATAAATTTTGGATCTTGATGCATATGCAAAGTCGTGATTCGCGACTAGTTGTTTGTTTTATTTTAGTATGTTTAAACTGATAAGATAAAAGACAAGATGCTTTTCTCTCTCTCTCACTCTCTCTCTCTCTCTCTCTCTCTCTCTCTCTATCTATCTTTTTGAAGCTATGCAAACACAAGTCAAACTTGCCTTCCGTAACGTCGTCCTCTAAGGTCCCCTTTACTTGTGAGAAACACCACTGTATGTCACCATTGCCTGTAATATAATAAATATAAAGTGATATTAAAACAAAATATCTTCCTCTTATTGCTCATTTGTTTCATTGATGTAATTTAGCGAATGGTAATAATAATTACATTTTTGGAATAATCGTATTTTGTGTCTTAATCAGGGAGATTGGTGCATTTTAGTCCAAATCAATTTAAAAATCGTAACAGATACACAAAAAGAAATGGAAGTAGAAAATGAAATATGTCGCATAATACACATAATTCTAATATTTATAGAATAAAACTTGAGTTTAAGAAAAAATTTAAGATTGAATATTTACGCATAGAAAACAAGCTGTATATATGTGTGCACAAAAAACGAGATTTATATAATCTATATAAAGAAATCTGTATAGTATATATATATACACACATATATATATACACACACACATACACGAAACCATATCCCCAATACCAAAATCAGAAATCAGAATTCACGTTATAGCAAGAAATGAAGAAAAGTAACGTAATTCGTTATTTCGTAAAGCTTTTGAAATTAAAAACATTTATATATGCAAAATAGGTGCACGATTTGAAGCAAGGAAAGGAGAGAGACAGAGATAAATAGCGCAGGTGTCATTGCATATCAAGTTGAAAGGAGCAAAGTAAAATAGTCGCTATCCTAGGATACTACTGCTATGAATCTGTGGCACAGAACACAAACGAATGCATCGCATCATCATCATCATCATCACCACCATCATCATCATTATTATCATATCATCATCATCATACCATCATTATCATTATCATTATCATCATCATTATCATCATCATCATCATCATCATCATCATCATCATCACCACCATCATCATCATTATTATCATATCATCATCATCATACCATCATTATCATTATCATTATCATCATCATTATCATCATCATCATCATCATCATGGTAGCACTTCTCAATTTAATCCGCCGTTGATGGCGTTCCCCAGAATTTCACAAAAAAAAAACTTATGAAAGTTGCGAGACATTACTTTGAACTCGAAAGGTAGATGTGTCTACAAACAAGGAAACAAGTAAAGAAATCATTTGTTGGGAAAATAGTTGATTCCGATGGAGTCACTTGAGAAACACTGTACAAGACTGAACAATAAAGAGGAAAGAAATGAGGGGGATACGGGTGAAGATGGCCGGTACAAAGTCCTCCTGCGTAGGTCGCACGAAAATTGATACAATTGTGGAGAATGCGGAATAGACGAGGCGGGAAGAGAGATAAAAGTGAGCCTACTTGAAGTTTCGGCGTAATCCATCGTGTTTCTAGGC